AGGAAAATTTCTAAGATATTGGGAAGACCAAGAATCATGACCAAATAATATTTGCAAAATGCTTTTTAACTGAAAAAAATCCTCTTGATTTTTCAGTCCATCAAATACACATCCATCATCTGACCATCCAATGTATCACATATAAATTCCAACCTCCAACTGATTCAAAATATCATTAAAAGACTTAACTACACTTCAACATCAATTACAAAGAAAGCCTAATTAATGAATGACAGGGTAACATTTTGTTGTTTTATATTAGATTTATGTAACTTGCACTCACATCTGAAGAATCAAATCAGGGCAAAATCAGTTTTCCATGCTATACTGGGCTGAACACTGTCCCCTCAAAATTCATGTCTACTCAGAACCTTGGCATGTGCCTTTATTTGGAAATAGGGTCTCTGCAGATGTAATTAATTAAGTTGAGATCATATTCCATTAGGTTGGGCCATAATTTCAGTGACTGGTGTCCTTATAAGAAGGCCATGTGAAGATACAAAGTCACATGCACACAGAAGAGAAGGCCACCTGAAGACAGAGATTGGAGTGATGCATCTAGAAACCAAGGGATATACGTCAAGGATTGCAGACAACTACCAGAAGCTGGAAGAGAGGTAAGGAAGGATTCTTCCCTGGAGCCTTTGGAGGGAGTGTGACCCTGCTGATGCCTTGATTTAAGACTTCCAGCCTCCAGAATTGTGAGAGAATAATTTCTGTTATTTTAACCCACCCAGTTTTGGTGCTTTGGTATGGCAGCCTTAGCAACTAGCCCCTGTGCCAAATTGTATTTTACTAAAATTGGTCTATATTCATAGACAGTCTATCTCTGCACTGGTGCTTTTTGAAATTTTTGAAGAGATTTATGAAACAAGCTGGAATGAGCACAGTTCCTCTGCAAGCCTCTTTACTCTCCTCACAGCATATGTGTGCCAGGTGGGACTGGCTAGATAGCAAACATTTAGAGATTTCTGGCTCTATTCCTAACTACAGATTAAACCAGATGTGTTTTACTAGAATTCAAATCAAAAAGCATTTCTTCCCTCAGTGGAGCCCCAGTATTTCTCCTTTTGTTTTAATGTGAATTATTTCAACATGATGGATGTTTTGTTTCCTCCAAATTCTAATAATATTTCTTTGAACTTTGACCTTGCTATTATTTTAGAGGCATGGTTAGAAAAACTAAAATACTAGATGATTGTTAGTCTTCTGCAGAGCTTAATCCTGCTTCTTTTTGTCAGCTTAAATATTATGGCCTCAGACGTAGTTATTTAGAGTGCTATTGAATCAACTGGAATTGTTTAAATATAATAATGAAATGTTTCATAAAATGGCTCAGTAGAATTAAGTTAACAATCAATCAATCCATGGTCCACAAAATGATGCCACTAGGTGTCACTAACTGGAATCCTTTAAAAGGAACCAATGTTGATTCTGCAAAATCAAACCTCCCAAAACCAAGCATGGAATGTGGAACATTAGAAGGAAGACGTCAAAGTCTGAAAAGCTTCTTCTCAAGAGCTGGTTATACCATATTCCTTTTTTGAGCATACCATAGCATTTAAATGTTAAAACAATGTTTTAATGTTTAGATTTCTCTATATGGCAGCTACTTGAACACTTCATTGATTGCATTATTGCAATGTAGTCTGTTAGTTCTGAAACAAGAGCTTAATGAACCATATTATGAGCTATAGATCACAAGGGCACATTCTAATGTTGGTTTATGTCATTCATGATGATTACTTTCACTGAAGGATGGTTCAGTTTAGATTTTTCAGAACCAAATGCATCCCAACACTGCCCAGGGCCAGCCTTAAAGCCAGTCATTTCAGGAAAGTTCTGGAGTTCACGTGTAGCAGTTGTCTGCAAAATTCAGCAAACGTGGCATCTTTTTACTGGGGGTACAGCTCATTTTCAGTCCAGCTTCTTTTCAATCTGAGAGGCACTGACTGGGCAGATGCTGATACCACAGACACTTTCTTTTTTTTTTTTTTATTAAAGTATCATTGATATATATAATCTTATGAAGGTTTCACATGAACAACACTGTGGTTTCAACATTCACACACATTATCGAGTCCTCACCCCCCCATTGCAGTCACTGCCACAGACACTTCTTTAAAGGTTTATAAATCATGAGAATTCAAAGGAAATTTAAGCATGTTTTTCCTCACTAAAAGCTGTGAGTCTCTTCTGAAGTTGTGACAATGTCTACCAAGTTTGCAGCAGTTACTCAAAATAAATGTTTTCATTGAGGTCTGAGAAGGTTAGCATTGGGCAATAAGTGGCAGCCTGGCTCAGTTCCAAAGTCCAGTCTGTGTCTGAATATCTGCCCCTTCTTATAGAAACTAGTATTGCTCTTGCATTTCCCCTGAAGTCTCACAGGGTGTGTTCAGATACCTTGTTATATTAGTAAGAAAAATACAACCTCAAAAAGCCAATTTGGGCTTCTGTGAGCCTTTAAATGACAAAAAGTCCTTGATATAAAGTAGGTTAGTAAATCTTAGCTATGATCTAAACACTGATTTCACCGAAATAAACCAAATCTCCATGCCCTGCTGCAGCTTCTTTCAAATATTTCACTTACTAGTTCTAGTCAAGGGTATGACTTTTGTGGGAAATACTCAACTGTGAAAATTTTCTGCATCATATGATGCAATGATAGAGAACAATAGATATTTAAATAGCCAATGAAAAGGGGGTCAAACTGCAATTCAAATAACACATAATAATGACAACAGAAGATGATTGAGGAGGAGGAGAAGGACAGGGAGGAATACAAGAGAAAGTAGAGGGAGGAGGGGAAGGGGAAAAAGCAGAACAAGAAAATGGAATGCTAGGAGCTATCCATGAAATACAATTGATTTCAAAGGCTTTTTGGTACCCAAGTAAGTTATTTGAAATAAACTCAATCTGAAATGTCCTGAAATTACTTAAGATACATGATACTAAAGAGAAATCCATTTTCTTATCTTCATGAATACATATTTTAGCTTTATTGAAGTATAATTGACAAATACAGTGGTAATATATATATAAAGTGTTTTGATGATTTAATAAATGTATACATTGAGAAAGGACTTCCACAATCAAGTTAATTAACAAACCTATCACTTCACATATTTATCTCTTTATTTTATTTTATTTTTTTTGGTGAGAACACTTAAGTTCTACTCTAAGCAAATTTTAATTATACAATACAGTATTATCAACTCTAGTCACCATGTTGTACATTAGATGATCAGACTTTTTTCATCTTATAACTGAAAGCCTGTACCCTTTTACCAATCTCCCCTTATTTTATCTACCCTCGAGCCTGGGGCAACCATCATTCTACTCTGTTTCTCTAAGTTTGACCTTTTTGTTTTTGTAGATCTCACATATAAGTGATATCATGAAGTATTTGTCTTTCTCATTCCACTTAGCACATTTTAAAACTATGTTTCTTGGTTCTCTTGCAGCTAGGTAGGCCTGTAAGTAGTACTTGCCAATGAAATATGGGCAAAAGTTACATAGCCTACTTCCAACTTTGACCCTGCAAGATTCTCCATTTTTTTTTGGTCCCCACCACAGCTCCCAAGTTCCCCATTTTCTCTCATCTGCTGGCTGGGTGCTAAGGATGCAATGGAAGATTCCAAAGCCCTGGGAGTTGGCAGAACTACACAGTGAAAGAGGCCTGGATCCCTGAATGACTGTGTAGAAGAGACCTTCCTCATCTACATGCATTGGACTGTGATGTGAGCAAGTAATAGACTTTTATTCTGTTGAGCCACTCAAATTTTAGGACCACATGCTATAGCAGATAAGTCAGCCCTGATTAATACATACACTAAATAAAAAGCCAAACTAATTAAAAAATTTGATAGCTAATTTGACTTGACCAAATTTATGGAGAGAAGCAACTGTGAGATACCTACATTTGCACTTAGTGTGAAGCTGAAATACAATGCAACACTCTTAGTTTAGCTTTTCCCAAACTGGTCCTCATCAATTTCACAGGATTATGAATAAAATGTCTGTGTCCAAATTAGTTGGAAAATGGCTATTAGAGTTAATCAGGTTTCTTTGCTATAGGACATCTCAGAGCTGTTAATATTCTAACATACATTGTGAATCTATATAAATGGAATAAAGAATGTAATATTTACTAAGCTTTTTTAGTCAAAAAATGATATAACCACTAATTTAAGACCCACTCTCCCACCCCCATGGCAACACCCATCATTATCTTTTGGAGCAACGTTCTGTAGAATACATTCTGAAAGACTGCTTCAGTTTAATTTGCATCATATGGTGGGTTAATCAGAACCAAAAAGTTCTAGGTCCTCCAAAGCAAATAACATTCTCTTATTAAGGGAAGATTTTTCTTGTAAAAAGACTAATGCACTAGTAGACTAATTTGTACTAAGAAAGTTTCTACTGCTGAAGTAACCAAGTTCTCTAAGAAAGGTATTTTACTTAAAATGTGACTAAAATGAAGACAGATGTGACCTGTCAGCTTCTGATTTTTCTTTGTATCTCAATCTGCTGTCAATGGAGCCTGTCATATTTAATGATGGAATACACTCTTATGTTTAAAGACACTGAGTCTATGAAAACAAGCAGTGCTAAATATGAAATGTGTGTGTGAATACCGCCCATTGTACAATACCTTATTTTCTTTTCTGTCTTCTATACTCATGCTTGAGGAACAATGTTTTAAAACCATGTTGAAAGCAACAAAAAGTAAACACAGATAAGATCAATGGATTCTTTTAATAGAAACACACACACATAAATATATACATATAATTTATTCACTGTGACTTGCTAGGCTACAATGCATTTGTACTGTATTTACTTTATTTCAGTTCCACATCTATGAGGAATGGTCTGCTACATTTCTCACAGACTTAAGGCAACTGAAAAAGGACTGTTAGGATGGATACCTGGAAATTCATGTGAAGTAAAGAAGATAACACTAAATATTTAATTTACCAAAAAAAAGTTACACTTACATCTAGTAGTGTGTGAAGATGCTGATCTTGGAAAACACTGTGTAGAAAGTCTAAGTCCTTTTCACTGCAGTCTGTAAGTGCGTGAATTTCTTCCAGGCTGTCCAACACCTGGGAGACGGCTCCTAAGCAGAACAAACAGAAAAGAAATAGCCAGTGCAGGAAGTCATTGTCAACCTAACCTTTGTAACCTAAATCTTACAATTCAGAAGAATGGGCTAACAAACAGAAATTCAAAGGTTCATGTCTTTGCTGAAGGATGGACTTAAATGAGTTTCAAATCACTTAAGGATAGAGTACTTTTGGCAAGTTTATGTTTTCAACAATGCATTTATGTGCTCATTTTTCAAAACTGAAGCTTGTCTTACTTGAACTAAGGAAATTTATCAACTACAATTAAGCTACTAGAAGATCTGCGTGCAGCAAGTTATGCATCAGGAAGAGAGTATGGGTTCCATGATCCCAAGATGTTTTAAAATACAATGTTGAAATATGTTTTAAAATGTTACAGAAATAACACAGGTGAGCCTTTCATATAGGTGCATTCCATCAAGAATGGAAAGTAAAGACAGTTGTAGATCTGAGGGACAGACCTTCAACTGGGGTCTTCTGCTGTGTAAAATAGGCTTTTTAAGGCTCAAATTTGAGTTACCAAAAATCCCAAACTATTATTTTTTCTTCCTCTATAAACAAAGTCAAGAGAACCAAGTCATCTTCAGTCTCTTGGGCCCTTTTTATTCAGGAGACGAAGACAAAGGGTAAGTATACCGACCGACATTTCCAAATACCATATTAAATATCAGGGTAAATCACTTTTGCAGGGTAATGCGAATGGTAGCGTGGTCACTATTTTACATTTCCTCTTACAACTAAGAATCCAGAGAGGTATCAGTGGGGATACATACTGAGTAGTAACAAAGTCACTTACATAGCCTTAAAGCAGCAATTAGCCTGTTTTACTCTGCAGACAAGATGCACATACATACTCCAGAGAAAGAACAGAACCCTGAGAGGTTAGCTAGTGTACATGATGTCAGAGAAATTCTAACAGTAAGTACCTCTTTGCACATCTAAGTCTTGGATCAGTAGTTTTCAAGCAGTGGTGATTCCGCCCCCTAGCAGAATATTCAGCCTTGTCTGGAGGCGTTTTTGGTTGTCACAACTGTGCTGGGACAGACTGTGCTACTGTCATCTCGTGGGTAGGGGCCTGGGATGTTATTAAACACCCAACAATGCCCAGAACAGCCCTTTACAAGAAATAATTATGCAGCCTAAAATGTCATAGTGCTGAGGTTGAGAAGCCCTGCTTTATATAAAGATAAAAATCTTGAATCTTTTTGTGCTGGAACTCTAGTCTGTTTCTAATTACTTCTGGTATTGGATCTCATCCATTCGCCTGCACTTATTCGTGAGAATGTAAATTAGTACTTTTCCAGAAAGCAATCTGGTAACATACTTAAAAGAGCCTTAAAAATGCTCACGTACTTTGATTCATAAAGTCCATTTATAAAAAACTACATTAAGGAAAAATATAGCAAATGTAGAAAAAGATTTATGTATAAGGATATTTATCATGTGAAATGGAAAAAAATCCAATAATTAGGGAATGATTACATAAATTATAGAGTATCCATATAATGAAAATACATAGCCAAAGAAAAATCATTTTTCAAGAATTTTGAAGACATAGAGAAAGCTTCATGATGAAAAACCCAAGAAAGTAGAATGCAAAGTCATATAAACTACATATTTGCAATCATGACTGCAAAAAAAATATACAAACCCAGGCAAAAAACAGAATGAAATACACCAAAAGAGTAACAGTAGCTATCCTTATTTTCCTCTTTATACTTCATTCTGTTCTTGCCCATATATTCCAAGCTTTCTATAATAGAAAAAAAAAGTTGCTATATAAGCAACTGCTTTTTGCAGTACTGTCTAAGTATGTTAAAAGATTTCTGGCTTAAGCCACAAATCAAATGGTTATCTATGTGGAAATTACTGTGACTAATTTTTTTAAATTTGACTTTTTATTTTGAGATAATTGTAGGTTCACATGCAGTTGTAAGAAATATTAGAGAGATCTCACATATCACATACCCTTCACCCAGTTTTCCCCAATGGTAACACCTCTGGAAACTGTCATACAACATCACAACTACCAGCATACTGATGTTGACAGTCAAGCTACAGAACATTCCATCACCACAAGGATCCTTCATGTTGCCCTTTTTATAGCCACACTCATTTCCCTCCTACCCTACCCTCTTCTAGCCCCTGGAAACTACTCTGTTCTCTATACGTTTGCCATTTCAAGGATGCTGTATAAATGAAACCATATAGTATATAACCTTTTGGGATTGTCTTTTTTGACCCAGTTGCAGTGTAATTCTCTGGAGATTCATCTAGGTGTTGCATTTACCGATAGTTTAATCCTTTTTATTTCTGGGTAGTATTCCATAGCATGGATGTACCACAGTTTGACGATTTATCTGTTGAAGGGACTGTGGATATTTAAGAATGTTGAATAATTACACCAACCAGGCCATTGGTATTCTTTCACTGAAAATATTACATAGATATTAAGTGGGATAAAAAAAGGTACAAGGCAGAAATCAGTCCTCCTTTCCTCTGTGGTTCCTGAAAAGGTATTAATCTAATCCACCTCCTTCTACCTGCTCTTTTCAGGACCTTTACTTTATTTGGAGTAGGAAAAAAAAATCTGGAAATTGATTCAAAGCCAGCTCTCTCATCATCCCTTATTGAAAGCCTTAAAGGCAAAAGATGATGTGAAGAAATCAGTCACAAATGTCCCTCCCACTGAACCCCAAACTCTAGCACATTAACAGCAGAATTAAATGATAGCAGGTTTATAAAGTTACTAAAGCCAGTTCTAAACTTCTGGACTTAGGAAGCTGCAAAAACCAAAATACTAGTGAAAATTTTTTTACACACAAAAAAATTCAACAGATATTAATTATAGAAACCAAATTGCCATTTTCACTCAATTATCTTAATGGAATATTATCTAGTTTTTGTTGTCTCTATTCAGCACTGCTGATGCTGATTTATGATCTAGGTAGCTCTTCATTAATGCTATAAGATTAAAATAAAACTACCTTGTGTCCAGCGAACACTAAGATGGTGTCTAACCACTGGGAAGCAATTCTGGCTGTAGCAGACCAGGGATGTATCATTTATTGGTCTGAACTCTGCAAACTCCATGCAAGTCCTCCCACCAGCACACCCCATGGGCTGTCCTGTGTGTGCACTTGCTCACTCTTCTGTGCTGTGAGGTCCTCAAGGCAGGTCTACATTTGATTCATTTTATAATATCCACAAAGTATGCACTGAATTAATTAAGTACTAAAAAAACATAATAATGACAGCAGCTCCCAATTCTGGAGTGTTTATTAAGTGTCAGGCAGATCTTTAGTACAATGCAGTAAGGTAGATATATTACCTGACTTTCCTAGATAGGAAACTGAGGTTCAGAGAGGTCAAGGAAGGCTATAGCTACAAGTGGTAGGGCCAGGACTTAATACCAGCATGTCTGGTTCCAAAGTCCATGCTCTGCCTGACTTATTACACTAAACTGCTCCTACTAGGAAAATAGGGGGACCCTTCAACAAGAAGCAATGAGTGGCTTATGCATGGATATGGAGGTTAGAAAGGAACTTGAACTCTATTGGGTCAGACAATAACCAAAACCTTTAGTGAATGTTCCTGCTTTTTGCCAAGTGTGGGAAGGGACTTCAGAGAAAACAGGTATCATCTCTGGCCTCAAAGGAGGGGCTTTTGGTCTGGTGTGTGAAGTAGGCATCCTATATAGCCTGAAGTAAATGATACAGAAGACGTAAGCACAAAGTGACACAGAAACAGGCTGCCTAGAGAGGATTGGGGGCAGCTTCAGAGAGGAGGTAGATGAGCAGGAATTCAACCCCTCCACCCAGGGGCTCATCTGCTCTGGTGGACTGAGTGGATGCTTTGCTGTAAAGCACAAAGGCAGCTGTTAGCCTGTGTTTCCAGTAGGCAAGACCCACCAGGTCAACAGGTCTATTTAACTTCCTGCGATCTGTCATCTTTCCTGAACTGATTTATACTCTTATCTTATACCCCAAAATGGTTAAATTTGTGGGTTCTCAATCATGAAAGGAAGCATTTCTTTAACTGTATGCAAGTTGCCTATTTCAAGCTCTGAAAAGTACCCTTGATTTTAAGCTTCTGTAATTAGGTAGGAAAATTACCGTTTTTATTCCGTTTCTCTTTATAGTCTTTTCATATTGAATGAACACCTACTTTCCGTCTAACCTCAAAATCTTTCTTTACCTTTGATCATTTTAACACCTTCCATCAACACCTTTTCTACAGGTTTCCGTTTTTCCTTTGGGTATGACCAGCAGAATCACAGAGCACATTTTTCATCTGGTAGATGGGTACAATTGGTATCTGCAGTTCAATACCAAGCTCACCTACAAGCCCTATAATTTTTAAATTCAGTATAAAATACAAATGCACACAAAGACCTTTCTTGTTTTTTTCCATTGCTGTTTGTTTTAAACACTAAAGCAACAGTAATAATACAACACAACACACATACATATACAAGCTCTTAACACTGCTGCTAGTATTTATTTTGTTGATCAATATTGCCCTACCTGAAAGAGCCATTCACTTTTCTCAAAAACTGAAAAGAATTTTTTTCTATAAAAACCTTTGAATGAACCTGTAACTACCCTGAAAAACATCAGTCAGTAAATAGCACATATTCTGTCACTGCAGGACTGGGGGTAGCCCATCACTTTTGTATTCCAGGCTGCACTCTGCAGAGTGCTTTGCAGAAAGAGACACAGTAAAATGTGGTCCATTAAAGTGATCTTTTCTGAGCCAATTCTGAAGAAATAAAGTATTATAAGGAAATAACCACAGAAAACAGGGTTTTTTACAGTGTTCTTGTCTAAGAGTCATAATGAAAATTATTTTAATACTCATATTTGTATAACCTGTTTGTAATCAACAAAGTGCATTTACACTTATTACCTTCTGTGATTTCACAGTCACCCTGTCCTGTAGGCAAGAGTTTTTATATTTGAAAAATCAGAGGCTCAGCAGGGTTAGCTGACCGTGGGCCACAGTTGTGAGCAGCAGAGTGAGCACTAGATGCCAGGTCTTTTAATACCCAGTCCTTCCACTACAGACTGGCCCCTCCCAAAAGTATGTCTCATCCTCAGCACCTGTATAATTCGCTTTTAGTAATAATATGACATCTGATTTCTATTCTCGCTTTAATCTCAGATTAATTTACCATAAAAAGGTTTATTTTCTACAGCCTTGGTGCAAATTTCACAATGATAAAACTACTGAACTAATCAAGCCCTGACTTCAGAAGAGTATTATTTTAATTTTTGCATAATTCATTGGTAATCAAGTTTGTATCTAAAAATTAGGTTGGTAATCATACATTTTAACTCTGGGCAATTCTTCTAAGAATCTCCCTGATACAAATAGCTTCTCAAAAGTTTTCTGCTACTATTATGAAACAATAATAAAAAAACATAAATATGTTTACTGTTTTAAAAATATCTTCTGAGTCTATTTATTTAAAGAGGACTATGATTTAAGGTCAGTAAAAACTTTTGAGTTTAGAAAAATTTCATTACAAGAGTGGAAAAGTCTCATAAAAAGTTGACTGAGTAAAAATAACCTGAAAGGAGGACAGAAAAATAAATAGTAGAATGGTTAAACTACAAATTTCTTAGTGTCAAAGTAGGCTGAGTCTGTCTTAAAACCATTTCCCCCTATGCTTTACTGTGAAAAATTTCAAACAAAAAGAAAATTGAAATGTTCTTACCACCTAGATTTTAGAATTGCTAACAGTTTGTGATATTTGCTTTATCACTTATCTGCCCATCAATTCATTCTATTTTTTAATCCATTTCAGAATAAGTGACAGAGTGGTCAACATCAGTATATTTTACCTCTAAACACTTCAGCATAGTTTTGAATACTTCTCTCTCTCAGGTAAAATTTACACAGAGTGAAATACACAAATCTTAAATATACCATTCAGTGAGCTTTGGTAAATGTATACACTGCAAAAACCTGATAACTGCATACATCCCTGTGTGTAGTTATGCCAGCAATAAAGATTTGTATGTGTATATTTAAAATATTATATATATAGTTTATAAAACCCATTGTGGCTGAGCAAATTCAGTATCTGAACCTAGTCTAGTTGCTCCTGAAGAGTAATCACTGATAACCTCTCTTTCTTGTTAAATGGCAATCCCATTTATATAACACTGGATCACTACACACATATTCACATGACCCACTCAATCAAAGCCCCTCCTTGAAAGCATAATAGCATTAAAAAAATATGCTAAGGTACAATAAAGTTAAAATTCACCAACTGAAGTGTATATTTTCATCACTCCAAAAATGTTCCCTCTTACCCTTTGCAGTCATCCTCTTCCCCCTACCCCTGCTCCACAGACAGCCACTTTTACTCCCACTGTACAAAGCAAATTCTGGTTATTGGTCAAGTTATAATCAACAGTGAATCCTGTAAAGGAAATTGTATTTTGGACTTAAGTATCTGGGTTAGATCTAATTCAAGTTATGAAAACTTACACATGGTGATAAATACTTTAAATTCTTTCTATGCAGAAGCCTCAAGATTTATTAGTTAAAAGAAATAAGCTCTACAAATGCATTCTGTCAGAGTACAGATGCTAAAATTCTAATGCCATTATGCTTGTTAAAATAGTCTGTTTCCAAATAGCAGCATCATTGGGCAACAATTTGTCCAAGTATTTTAAATAATGTTTGGCTGGTTATTAAGTGCCCATTCATACAAAGCTTTATAACTAAGGAAAAGCACTGTTTGATACCTCCAAGATGCTTTCATTACCAAATGACATGATAGGTTTGATGATTAGAGAAGAAAAGGAGAAGCATGACAAATTTGGAGAAACAAAAGCAGTTACAAGTGGGAAAAGTCTTACATTTCAGTATGTGGTGGGCAGCGTCTAAAATGGCCCCCAAGAGCCCTACCTCTTGGTATTCATGTCCTTGTATCATCAACCCCTTTCCCAGAGTGTGGGCCGGACTTAACTCTTGGTAAGGAACAAAATGGAGCAGAAGTGATAGAATTTCACTTCCGAGATTAGGTTAGAAAGACTGTGGCTTCTGTCTTGGGTGCTCCACTCTTTGGCTCTCCCTCTTTGATCATTCATCTGGGGGGAGCAAGTTCTATGTTGTGAGCATCCCTATGGAGAGGCCCCACGGGCAGTGAGGAACTGAAGTCTGTCAACAACCATGTGAGTGAACTTGGAGGAGGACTCCCCCAGGAGTTGGGCTTTCATATGAGATTGCAGCTCTGGATGACAGCTTTTCTTCAATCTCATGAGAGAAATCTTCAGCCAGAGGCACTCAGCTAAGCTACACCCAGATTCCTGATCCACAGAAACAGTGAGAGGATAAAGGCTGCTTTGAGGTTATTTATTCCACAGCAACAGATAACTAACATACTGTGACATTTAAAAAAAATTAAATTGGCTGCAATTTGAGCTACAAGTAACTACTGCAAGAAAATGTGACAATGAATTCAATTATCAGCACCCATATTTTCTAATTTATCCTTATCTCTTATATACTTCCCTTGGGTAAGCACAATGTTGAGGTAAAGTTTGTCTTAAGTGAAATGATTATTGAGATAATTCTAGATTCATATGCAGTTATTAGAAATAATAGAGAGATCCTTTGTATACTTTGCTCAGTTTCCCCATTGGTAACATTTTACAAAACTACAGTATCATATCACAACCAGAATACTTATATCTTATACATATTGCCATTCGTGTGTGTGTATGTGTGTAATTTCTTACATACTTTTTACTTTAATATTCTCACATACTCAAATTACATCCTTTTGTAATTAAAATCTAACCATTAATCATAAATGTTCTTTCTGAGGATAACAGTTGTTAAGAGACATGAATTCAGGAGTTTATTTCCTAGCTTCATATTAATAAACTGAAAACAGAGTCAGTAACAGAGAGTAATAAAAACTGCTTATAGATTCTGCAATTGTCAAAGGAAAATTCACTTACCCTGAAAGTTCTTGAAAGCTAACTAAAAATAAAATGTTACCCTTTCCCCAGAATTAATGTTTTTGTGCTTGAAGTTCAGGTGTGAAATATATTAAGTGCAGTTGAAATTTTAACACTGCCTATTTTTACTCTTATGAAAGAGAAATTAATATTCTTTGTATAACATGCCCCGGGAAGTCAATATATCCAAGTTTTGACTTTTTTGACTTTATGATCAGGCAGTGTTAAAATTCATAATTAAACGTCTAAACACAAACAGCCAAGGAAATAGTCAAGCTGATTATGAACATGCAAAGCCAAACACTTTTGCATAAAAGAGAAAGCTTAGAGGAAAACAAAGGGATACCTACTTTCTGCTGCTAGAAGTCCTAGGAGGAAGGCAGCATATGGACAAACAACAAACAGTATGATTTTAGAGCAAGCAGGTTATCCAGCCACAGTGGGGCTCAGTAGATGAGCTACAAGAAGCATGGTGCCCCAGCTGAGCCCAAAGTGAGCCCTGTGTTCCACTGGCACATTCACTAGGACTGCTTAGAATTTCAGTTGTCAAACATTGCGTTCTAATTCTTGCTTCTTTGATTTGAAATAAGAGAATAGAATATTTCCACTTTGGATTATTAAATAACCAAGCAACAATACACTGCTTATCACAAGATCAAGCTCAACAAATTCTAGTGAATGGTATAATGGGCTAATATCAATACTCCAAATAGAAAGAAATCTCTTATATAAAAATTGTTTTACAATGTAAAGAGCAGAGGTAACCACGTTAAACTCTTCTGTAGATGACAGATTGTAAAACTGACTCATTTAAAATTCATTTTAAAACTGATTTTCAATAGAATTTTGTGGGGACCAAAATAGGATTGTCAGCTTTTAATTTTATCAAGCAAGGTCATTAAAAAAATCTACCTACCTATCATTTATTGTCATTTCACAGAAAGAAAAGAAAAGGAATTATCTAAAGATAAAAAACAGACAGTCCATCTCAAGAAAGGGCAGTTGGTGACCTCACTGCTCTCTCTAGCTCCTCCTTCACTGCGCCTTCACCCCCACTCTCCAAGCACATGCTTTATGATCTTTTTTTTTTGCCGTGGGCTTGGAAGAACTTTCAGATAATGATGAAAAGTGCTTTGTGTTTTGTACTGTAAGACAAACCCATGCAAATTTAAACAGAGACACAGCGGAAAGGATAACATTGGGAACTTAATGATGTAGGATTTAAGGACTTAAAATTAAACAGAGAAGAGTTTAGGCCTGAAACATTAAAAGACAGAAGTAAATGAAAAACAAAAATACAGATGTGTCAATTTATGAAAGTGTAAAGCTCTTACATGAGTCCAGATAAAATACAAAATAGGCTTTCTGCAAGCAACTATATGACCATTACCGTTCACTGCTGAAAAGGCAATTTGCTGGCAGATAGCTATTTGAGAAATAAAACTGATAAAATAGTATAAACCTTCCCTTTAAATGGCTTAGTATTAAAAATTAATTTTGGAACATATGAATGATTTCTTGATAGCTATGTGAAAGGAAAATATTAGAATATTCTTCATAATTTTTCTTTGTCTTTGATTTCTGAGTACATAAAAATTTCTTCTTCATTCAGGGCAGCTGATCAGACATGTACACTGCGTAATGATTCTTCAATCTCTGATTTGTAGCGGCCAGGCAGTGCTATTTAAAAATATTCTAGAGACAGACATGTGCATGTCAAATGAAGATATAGACTCCTTACAAGATCATTAAGATTCAGAAATGAAAAAAAAGAAAGAGAAAGAGGGTGTGATTACAGGAAGGGGAAGCAAGAAGGAATTTGAAATTGTGAACAACTAATTAATTTGAGGGCTTGCAGGCTGCTTGCAAGACAGTGTAAGAATTTTTTTTGTTTAAAAAGCAATTGCTGTAATCAGAAATGATTTCAGCCATACTATTTAAGAGATTGTATTGAAAAGCAGAAAAAATTGGGCAATAAAAGTATATTTAATAGAAAATAAGCATGTCTATAACTATAGACAATTCTTTTCCCTAAAAGAAAAACCTAACTCTTCACAGAAAGGAACATTTAAGAGCTCACTGAACTCTTGCTAGGCAGAGGTACATATACAGGGGTGACATTAAAGATTTGATCTGTGAACTATTGTAAGGACCATACTGCTCTCTAGGCCCAGTTCTAAAGATGAAAATGGTGTTAGAGATCTTGATCTCAAACCTCTAGATATATTTCAAGTATGTGACTATATCCTGTAGTCACAGTGCAATATAAAACCATTACTGGTTCTATTCCCCTCAGACAGGGTCAACTGTAACCTGAATGTAAAGAGAGAAGAAAGAGGTTTGCGCTAACAAAAACACAATGACAAAAAAGTACAGGTGGAAGGAATAAAATGGACTGGAAGGAAAAAGACAAACGTGAAACAGCAGGGAGCAGGGAGACCATCCCTGCAAAGGCCTCGTCTTTCATGTGATAAGGGCTCTGATGGTTGCAAAGTCTTCACAAGAGGAAAACAGCAAGGCCTTCTCAGAGTCTCTTCTCTAAGATTCCCATTTCTGAATGTTTTTGGAAATCACCTTCACTCAAAATAGGAAGTTTCACATCTCAATTGGTAAAGGTCAAAGGAGGAACTGTAGAGCTACTGGAATGGGAAACTTGATCCTGTTATTTTGCACAAGGTGCAACTTGTGTATGTGCATAACACTCATGTGTATAAACCAAGGAAGGAAGGAGCATAAACACTGACAAATGCTCATGGTTCCAACAGGAAAGAAGCATTACATATCCATTCTTCCTATATGCTAACTGTGAAGGACAAACAACTCATGTGCTTTAGGCCCTGATTCTAATGGCAATACATGAATAGAGAATGAACCAGCCCAAGAGAACAAAATTCCAATCAACTGCACCAAGTCAATCACATGGCAAATAATGAAAGAAAAAAAAGCTGAGGGCAGGGGACACATGATGCAGAACTTAAGTAAATAAAGAAATACATAAATAAAATAAAAAACTTGTGACACACATATTTACATATATATACACACATGGATCCTATGAATTTCTAGTAAATGATCCTTGAGAATACCTCACTGGTAAAATAGAAATATGAGCAGTTTATAAACTAATTTTGTGAACACTAGTGGATTTTTTCAGGAGCAACTACATACATTTCATCAAAATGGTTAACTCTTCCATGTCTTTCTCCCTTGAATGCTTGTATACATGTGCTATAGACTTTATAAAAAGAGAAGAACTTGTAAACTGTTTCAAGAGATAACTCACAAGACAGCTTCACACTAAAAAATTCAACTAAAGGCAGTGTTGTCTCAAAGTCTGATCTGCTATGGTTCACATGGGGAAAATCATACATCAGAAGTTTTTGTTGAGGTAGAAGGGAATCAGTAAGATCCAAAAAGACTGACCACAATGTTGGATTAGATGAAGTGCAATGTTGCGTCTGGAGTGGGAAAGGGGAAGAAGTATTTCTAAGGTAAAAAGAAAAAAGTGAAATGTTAGTTTCAGAGCCACAGGGGAGAGCAACTTTAGTATTAAAAATTAAAGCAACCAGTCACGTGGATGGGATTTGGTTGCTGAAAGACTTCCTTAGAATCTCTTGGAGGAGCTGACTAGATTGACGGAAAAAGTTTATTCACAATAGAAGAGAAAGAAAGGATGGAGACATCAAATGATTCACACTGGTGAATGAATGAATGATCCAATTACCTGAGGAGGTAGGGTCTTCGGAGAAATCTGGCAACTCTTCCGGGGGATCCCCATAGAATGAGTTGAATTTGTGACTTGACACAGCTGCTAGTACCGCACCCTAAAGCAAAGAGATGAAAAAATATATTAAAGCAATTACATAAATATAAAAAGTTAAATAACTAACAGTTATTTAGGATTATTCGGGAAGTCAAATTCAGTTAGAAGAAGGTTATCATTTAAACAATTTTGGATTCCTTCAAATAAATCACATGTGCATATACCAGAACAACACTGTTAGGGACTGCAAAAGTATAGGAAACCATTTCTAGCTTGAATGCAAACATGTACCACATAATGGAATATTCTGTAGTCCCTATAAAATGGTGGTGCAGAAGGATGTTTAATGAAATGGAAAGATGCTTGGGATGAATTACATTAAAAAGGTTTTTAAACAATTTATAGCATGGTCTCATTCTTGAAAAAAAGGTTACTATAGATATAAAAGACTGAACATAAAGCAAAATGTTAACAGTATTAATTATCTCTAGGAAGTAGCAATGAGTCACTTAAAAACATCCTTTTTCCCCTTTCTTTTTGTTGTTAACAATGACCATGTGTTACTCTTCTTATATAGTACTTCTCAATCAGGCCACACAGCAGAATCAACAACACAGGACTCTTTTAGACCACATGCATAGCCTCCCTTGATTTCTAGTTGAGATGCACTATCATATTGAGAGCATGACATCCCTTAGGACTGTTGGGTGGAAAAAGTTTGGGAATTATTGTAACAAGAAGAATGATAAAAGTTATTTTGTAAAAGAGTTCAATTCTGCAAGTGTGAGGCAGAGGTCAGAATGTCTGGGTCTGTTCCTTGGCTCTGCCACTTTCTAGCCACATGACGCTACTTGAGTCAATTATTTAACCTCTGAGGTTTTCTCATTAGTCAAGTAAGGATATTAAAACTGATACAACTTACCATATAGGGATTGTCAGAAGTCATAATGAATATGAAAGTGCTTGCAAACTGTAAAGCACTTCACAAGTGTAAACCATTACTAACCCTACTAATACAGAGCTGGGGCATGAGCACAGCTTTTTGTTGGTCTAGGCAGAACTGCTCATTAAGGTAGTCTAAGAATCAAATCACTAAAGGAGTCTTAAGTCTAAAGTAGTCTGAGTCTCAATTTGAAAAATAGAACTCTTGGATTTTTCTGAAGACAGACAAATCTGTGATGTGTGTAGGCACTTATTAAATACATGACAACATTAATAGAAAGAGATTTCCACAAAATTCATTATTTGTGGGGGGAGGGGTCATGTTCAGGTTTCTTTGTAGAAATACAAATTGAGTTGCAGAAAGGGAAGAGCAAAAAACAGAGAAGTAATCTTGATGATACCATTCCAGGCAACTTTTTAGATTCCGAAAAGTCCAGTGTTAATGCATGAGAGGTTGTTATGTGAAATTTCATGGTCAGTTACCACAGTGAAAAAATAGTACTGAATGATGAGTTCTTCTTTCTATAGTAGAAGCTTATTTCACTTTACATATTATACTTGTTTCCTAAAAGCTGGGTGGGAATGGAATTTGTATATATAAAATAATGTTTCCCCCACACTGAAACCAAAATTTTAGATGCGCTTTATTTTTATCTCTGAAGTTCTAGTTTCTTAATATGTTTATTTTATGTTTTAAGGCCTGTTCTAGCTACTACTGTAGTCAAAGATCTAGAAATGTTTATATTAGAAAAGTACTATTTGAAAGAGCCCTGAGAGATAAATTCTTTTAAAACATTGGTAGCAAGTTTCTAATTATGTGTCTTATGCCTAGCAGTTTTGTTTTAGTTCTCCAAGGTCAGTGACTGCATGCGATTCAAATATTCAATGCAAAGTTATTACGTAAAACAGCAAAATGGTTCCAAACAGGTTATGGATTTATAGAATTTTATTAAGATTTGAAAATCAACCTTAGAGATGATTCATTCTTAGAAATTCATTTTGCAGATAAAGAAACTGAGGTTCAGAGAGGCTTATCAACCTGTTAAAGTTACTGCCAACTTAAGAGATAGAATCAAAAGTAGACAGAACTGAGGCCCTCTGACTATTCTCTCCCAGTTAAGGGATTTTTACTATACCAGGGGTCAAAAAACTTTTTCTGTAAAGGGCCTATTATTTAAAGTAAATATTAGGCTTTCAGGGCATATGGTCTCTGCTACAACTACTCAACTCTGCTACTGTAGCATGAAAGCAGACATAGACAATATGTACATGAATGTACATTGCTATGTTCCAGTAAAACTTTGTATGTTAAAATAGGAGGTGGACCAGATTGCGTCTTTAGGCTGTAGTTAGCCAACCCCTGTACTATACCATTAACTATTAAAGAGTCTGTGGGTACAACAACAACATAAAACCAGATCTTACATCAAAATAAGTAATGTTAATGAAGCAGTTTTCTACTATGCAAATTACACAGATTCTAAATTCAAAGAAAAAGAGAACTACAGTAATTATTAACTTAATCACAATTATAGTTAATATGCCAAACATCAAAATGCAGTCTTCCCAGCCAGATGATTATGTGTAAGGAGTCATCATTTAAGGAAGTGGAAAACAAGAAAATGGTTAGCTTAGATTTCTGTGAAATTAAACTACTGAATGCACTTAAAAGAGGCAACAGAGTTATTAAGTAAGGAACAGGAGAGTTGAACACAGATGAACTGCTGACTTGAAGACAAGAGTTAAAAGTCAATACTCCTTTTTTTGGTGCCCCCTAACTGAGCTCAGAAACAAGCACCATGAAATTTGATAGGTACAGGGTAGGGAGGTACATTTAAGAAAGTCTAAATACAAAACACTCAAGTATGAGATGTAGACTAATTGGATTTGCACCCAAGTGGGAAGGTAACACACAGTCATGTTATAATATACATAGGAGGCAAAACCCATCATAGGGACATCCAAATACAGCTGTGACACAAGAATTCAAGAAAGGCTCATCTTATTAAAATTCAGAACGCTGAACTCAAAGCCTTGAAAAGGGTGGAGAACCTGGAGAAGCTGAGGCTAAAACAGAGATGCCCCAAAGGCTAGAAAATCATTTCAAGGCAGAAATGTGAAAGGATTTTGGTTGATTACATGTAAGAAGTAGGTCTGAGATAATGAGATGAAATCAATGATTAAATCAGAACTTCTACTCTTTCTCCATAGTCACAACCAAAGTTATCATTCAGTTTAGCCAGCATAGCCTATACATACATGCATTTAAAAAATAACCTAAACACAGGTCTAAAACCTGACATTTCAATAACATTAAGTCAGGATATATGACCAAAGGATACTGTGTTATCTTCTCTGCAGATTAACAGTGAGACTTGTAAGTGTAGCAGACATGGCTACATTTCAGAGCACTTGCATGGAACAGATATTTTAGGAATCCTTTTGGATCTGTGTAGAAGTATTTTACAAAGATGGTCTTTTAATGTACATAATAACTTTCAAAAGTTAGACTGCCTAACTTAGGAAGTAATAGAGCCTGTATTTCAGAATCAGAAATGGATAGAATTGCTTTGGAAAATCAATATAGGAATATCAAAATTACTTCAATTCTTAGTTATATAACTTGGTGCCAGAATAACAGTTTTCAGTTTTTAGAATTGAAGGTGCCTTTGGATACCAGATTTACTGCTCTAGGTAGCCGGAGCCCCCAACTGCTGTGCTAACTTCCTGCCTCTGCACAAACCCTCCCTACAGGAGAGGACTGTATATGAATGCTGGCTTTCATTAAAGCACAAGGGTCCTTAATAAATCCTTAGTTTAGCTCTTGTTGAATTAATAGAAAGGGGAAGATTGCCAAAAGGCAGCTATGAGAAAGCCTCCTGGTTGACCTCTCAAAAGGTGATGTTGAGATGTAAGCATAAGTCCTGCAGGTGCCAAGACTCCAGATAGCAGTGCTGTACAACAGAACTTTCAGCAATGATGGAAATGTTCTACACCTGTATTGTTCAACATAGTAGCCATCAGCCACATGTGGTATTGAGCACTTGAAATGTGGGTAGTACAACTGAAAAATCAAGTTTAAAAGTTTATTTAATATTAATTAATTAAAATTAAAGTAGCCATGGATGGCTAGTGGCTACTGCATGGGATAGTGCAGCTCTATAATGTACTGGAAATGGCATTCCTAAACAAACTTTTCCTAGTTCTATCATTTAGGAACCCAAGAGACCAATCAGTAAGTCAGAGAAGCATGACTATGAAAAACCAATAAAGGAAAACTGTAGAGTTATCAGAAATCTCCCTCACTCTGTATACACAAGGAATAAATGTATCCTCTAAATTGAGACACATGGATTCAACCTCACCATTTCCTGAACTGATTGCAATAAACTTACCCAAATACAGAATATTGTTTCTATTTATACAGAATTTCTTTGATATACTTCAATGGAGGGAAATTTGCTTTCCAAAGGTAGAAATAATTCATGAAGCAAAGGGGATATTTTCTAGAACAGATTCTCTCCTGAGCCTGTTTCCTAGATGGATAAGCTCACTCACAGACACTGCCCTCAACAAGCCTCCTCTTCCCCCTCCACTCCCTTTGCTCAGTAAGTCCTTCAAGTAGGTGTCACCCAGGGTTAGAGCATAGGTGTAACTACTTGCATACCCACAGGGCAAACGTTTTCTAGATAGACTATGTTACATGGTCTGTTCCCCAACAACCGAATATTCAGTTTTAGAAAATATGATCCTCATATCTAGTCTGTGCTCAGGACTGTGTATTGTTTCTAGAGGATTTTTAAAAACGAAGTATTAAAATTCTAGAACTCAGTGTGAAATAAAAAGGGGGAAAAAAAACCCTTAACATGTGAAATGTCTGGTAACCAAAACGGGAAAACAAATTTCTCATCCTCATTCATAGATACAAAATAAAATAATGAAAGAAAGGAGAATTAAAAGAAATGTGTGATAATTCAAATCACAAGCAGGGTTTCATTGACCTTTTTAATCTATAGTATGAAACATACTCTGAAAATGATCTAAATGCCCAAATAATCTTCTTTAATTGTCCAAATAAATTTCTCATTAGGGATTTGTTGTCTCCAGTAGTCTGTTGAA